TATATTTTAATTCATCGTGTTTTTTTCTCCTGCCTCCTTAGCATTTTTAAACTTCACTGCCTGGCGGCTATGCAAGATGCAAGAAGGCTGATGTTGAGGAGGAAAAAAGGTCTTCGGGTGAAGTGAAAAAGAGCTCGATGGTAGAAAGACGTGTGGTTTTGAAAAGAAAAATAATTCTTCGAGGCTTATTTAATTCCCTTGTTGCATTTTACATATAACATCGAACCAAATGGAATCTTGTTATAAAATACATGTCGTTGTTTTCTCCTTGCTTGTTCATTTTCGCTCCTCCATCCCCGTCTTCTCTCCATTTGGGTGTAACATTATTCTCCCAACCAGTCTTTTTCTTCTCGAAAAAGATCATTATTCTCCTGGCATGGGATGTTGTTTGAACGACTCCGCGTGTGTGTGTGTGTTTGAGTGCTAAACAAGGGCTTCAAGAGGCTTTCAAAAGAAGCCATAGCGTTACAATAAGAAGAAGCGAAAGGTAAAATTCTATCTTTTATAAGTTCACAAGACGTCTTAAAGCAAAGGTGAGGAAGAGAACTCGATAGAGCTCAACAGGCAAATCATTTCGTGACTTGTTAAATTTATTTCATAGCTGAGAGACTTTTTTCACTCTCCTCCGAATCGAGAGGTTGGAAATTGAAAAATTGACTCTAATCCAACGAGGGGTGATTGAGTAAATATTTCACATTCTCATAATCATACTTTTGAGCTCCTTGAGAATTTATTGGTCAATTTGTCAAGGGTTAACAGAGACGAACACATTTGATTCCACAATCAACATTGCTTAAGCTGCACAACTTCTGTAATATAAATATCATTTTGGGTTTCTGGAACCAGAAATTATTATAAAAATCAATCTTCACGCAGAATTTCGAGGCATTCGAGTGATGGTGATGATCATCGGCAAACCTTGTTATCTTGGTCTGTTTCGTGGCCACTCTACTGACACTGGTGCTTATTAATTATCCATTTAGAGCGGTTTGGCAGTAGAGAACGCGATAGGGAATGCCAAAAAAGAGCATAGTGCTAACTCTTTGAGTCAATATACATAGAATGCGACTTATGCGCAGAGGGCAGAGGTGTTTTGAGGTGAGAAGCGGAGAGCCATTAAAGCAAATACTTTCTTGGAGGAGTTGGTGAAGGTTCTCGAGGAGTGTGTGGCTGTTGAAAAAAATCTTGACATCCTCTTAATGTTGGAAACAAGATGATGATGGCGATGCACCATCATCAGCATATAAGAACTGCATATGTGGGGAGGCGGAGAGGGAGAAGGAGTGGAAAAAAGCAACGACAAGCGAGAAAAATAAATAAAATGTAAAGTGGAAGAGAAAATGCACAACAAAAGTCGATTATTCGAAATGGGCGTAACTTGTTGATGCTCGTAGCTATATATAAAATATTGCCACAATGCACGCTCCTCTGGGAGACGAGTGGTCATGTGCTGGCGAGATGCTGCATACGTAGAAGGGTGAAGCTGGAAATTGATCGAATGAAAAATACAAGATTTATAATGATAAAAATTTATATTCAGCATTTCTCATGCGAACAACAGTCATTTATTTTCTTGTACTCCTCCTTCCCTGCCCATGCGGCCGACAGCCTATATTTAACAAGACTTCTCGCTCGTTGCCGTACATGAGGTGGTATGAATAAGAATCGAGGGCCTGCAAGAAGCTGTGCGATCATTCTCTATGGCCACATGAAAGATTTTCATATAACAAGCTTGCGATTGAGGCGCAAAAAGGGCATTGTCAGGGGCGTAGGAAAGATGAAGAAGTAATCCATTCTAACTACACAAAGGTATTCTGTAAAACCACCGTGATTATGAGACGATTTCGACGATTTCGAGCGTTTTGACTAATCCTTTCGGACTGAGGAATAGTTTTGGAATCCCTGCTACGCCCATGAACACTAAAAAAGTATTTGCACTACCTAAAATAGTACCTGTGCCTATTCTGGCTCTGCGGCTTCTGGGTATATTTGATATTTTTTGAGGTCGATGATATTGTACCATAAACTGACCACATTTTACTATGTTCGCATGGAAGACAAAATAACGATGATCTTCTCACAAGATCACGCAGACGGAATTCTCAGTAATTTCGAGGGGGCTGCAATAAATGGCAGAAAGATGGTTGGTTGTCATAAAATGCCAAATAAGATGGGAATGAGCATGAGATCAAGTGAAGATCAGTGATGGGTAAAAAGATTAAGTTTCAAGAGTGATTTCTCTGAGCAGAGAAATCATGTGTCAGAGATTCTCGGAGCTGCTCGAAATAATGTTCGTAAATCATTCCTTGAGTTGACCTTAAGAGCGAATTTGACATGCGGCAAAAAGGCAGCGAGAACTAGTGAGTTGATCAAATGATCACTTGCGCCTGGGGATCATCTTCACTGCACAGAGATTGACGAAGTGCGACTGGGAAGCTTGTAAATTTGTCATGGAGAGTAATTGCTGGCGAAGAAGAAATCTCACACTGCTCGACCTGTGTTGTCAACAATTTGCAATAATATATTTTCTCGTTGGCAGACAATTTCACTGATTTATCTCCTCTTGCGCGCGGCTCGTTTAGCCACGAGGGGCAGATTTTCGAGGTATTTTTCATTCCAGATGAGAGTCACTCTAAGAATGTGAAACAAACACATGCTCTCTTGATGAATAGTCGCTGATCATAAGTCATTACTTGGGATTATCCCTCTCTGTTGCTCCAACTCGCCACCAACTACTCGAGATCTCTCCTCTTTCCAGCACTCTTGATGAGTGGATTCATTAGGAATCAAGAGGTTATTGATTTTTCCATCCATCTGACTTGTTCCGTTTTTTTCCATCCCAACACTTTAATGATCGCGCGAGTTACATAAAATCAGCCTCATAATGTATTTTCCTAATCGATTCCCTGTCTGTGGACTTCTTTGTGTCCATTCTTGACCCTCAGTAATATTTATAAATTACAAAATTTATTAGTCACACTCAAAATCGTGTCTCGGAAATTTTTCTTCATTTTTTACAACTCCACGAGATCACCAATAAATTGCTTGTAATGACCGCTGATTTTTGAGCTTCACAAATTTCAAGAAAATTTCACAAATCCACCAAAAGCCTTATTATAGTGAGAATTAACGAATTTCATGAAAGTTTCACGACAAATTGAGTTTTGATATGTGAAAAAGATGCCAAAGACACGATGGAAAAAGTTCAAATTAATGGGTGTTTTGAGAATTGTTGCGTTAACGGGCTGTGAGATTGTGTAAGTTCTGCGCCATCAATCATATCTCAATTTAAATTTGAAACTCTCGTCTGAGCTCTGGGTGAAAAAGTTGATTATTAAAATACATTTTATCCGTCGTGATCACAGATATTCCTCTGCAGAGTGATAATCATAAAGTGGTGTACTTTATTGTGTTGCAGTTGCCAGATATTACCTCTTTAATTTGTTTCTTGACTTTTATTGTATCGTCTTTTCTTCTCCTCCATTTATCGCCCTCTTGTTGGCCCCAAAGAGCGCCAACAATTCCCGCGCGTTCTCTGTGTACATCGAATATGTTCAAATAATGTGACATTATTTCCAATTTACATTTCTCAATATTTATTTTTACCACACTAAATACACACATTCACACCTGTCCGTCCCTCGCGCCTCCTTCCCGACTCTGTGTGTCTTCCAGAGCTGCTCTGCTGTTGGCTTCTTGATGGGCTCCCAGTTAAAAATAAAATTCATAAATTTTTCACTCAAATTGACTGTTTATTTGCTTGTGGTCTCACTGTTAGTTTTTCGTCTGTGGTGTTTTTTCTACATCCACGCTCCTCCATTTTCCTCCTTGTTGTGTGTATTGCTGGGTGTTAAGTAAATTTCTCTCAACATGAGTCGCCTGATCTTCCATGCGCGCCTCCTGAAATGCACAAGAATGGGGCGTAGAGACTCAGGGCAAATAAATAAATATGTATTGATAGAATTTTCAGGTTTAGAATTCACCAAAGTCAAATTTTCGTGTGATATTTTGTACATTTAGCAATTTTCGCAAGGAAATATCCCTTTTCCAGTTGATCAGAGTTGTCAAAACTTCCCCAAGTCTAGATAAGAGATCACAATTTTGGCCCATTGTGAAAGTTTCAAGAAATATTCCATTCCCAAAAATTTTCCCCTCCTCTTGACCTTCTTGACAGAATATTAGCCATACTAGAGCAAACTGTGGAGCAAGTCAGTATATTGTAAACAGTAGCAGTTTTCTTTCCTCTCAATTTCAAAACAAACTTTTCACCAACATAATTTTCCAACGTTGGGGAAAATGAAGAGACGACAGCAGAAGGTGCTCTCTCGCATCTAAATTTATTTATATTATTTTTTAATCGGGTGAAAAATGTGATTTGAGGATGATACGCTGAAGAGGAAGTGTGGGATTTATTTATTTGATATGGTGAGCAGGAGGGATGTTGGGCGTGAAGAGTAATAAAACTAGTGGGGAAACAAATTAAATATCATTTGGAATCTTCTCTATTTTCCTCCTTTTTCTTCTTTATCGCGGCGCGCATTTGTGATTTTTGTGGCTTTTGGTGTGCGGCATCAGAAAGCAATGTGTAAAATTGCGTCTACACACAATTTTCAAAATAAACAGAACACTCGAATGAGATGAATGTGGAAATTTGGATTGTCTTGGTATGAAAATAGATTTAAGTCCAGTGCCTCTCATTACTCACCCATCGCGTGATTGGAGATTGAGTTGAAAGGGGATTAGGTGCTGTGTGGACCACCCCTGGAGAATTGCAAGTAAATCCTAATCGTTTTCACCTCCAATTTATCTGAAATGTTTATTTCACATTCTCAAGCCACGCGTGAGTTGAATGATTTTTCTCCACACAAACCTATTAAGAGACATCAAACGAATTTTTCCTCACTGTTAATTTATTACCATCGGGCAGAATTTAAATAGTTCACACACAGTGTTTATTTCTCTGCAGCTGAGAAATGTTTCATGAAATGCCTCTCTTTCAGGTGGGCCATCCTCTGCTTCTACTGGCACTTGGCCGTGCGAAGGACACGAATGGAGAACCTCACCGAACGTCCTGGCCAGCCGAAATTCCGCACTGATTCCTACTCTTCGCTGACTCAGCTCACGGCCTGGGGTGTTCCCGCTCTTCAAACCGTGGCAGTTCTCGTATCGAGATTCGTGGATGCTGATGAATTGCTGGGTAAGAACTCATGTAGAGTTGGTATTATTGTAGTTGCTTTGGAACATAGACAGAATTGAGAACCGAAGGTGAATGTGTTGCGCTGACCATTTGCGATAGTTTCAATGAGCACTAAGAGCATTCAGAATTTGAATGTTTATCTCTCATCTGTAATTTCTGATGCTTGCTCCATTCAACTCTGACGCAAGAGTTCCTTTCGTTTCTTTAGCCACACCGCAGCTTTGGAAATACTTCCATGTGTCTTGATAAAGATTCTCGTTACATTTTGCTCACTTCCGAGACATGAGATTATTTATGATTTATCTCGTCTTTCAACCTTCCTTTTAATGTTTCCCGACAATTGTTGGCAACAAGAAAAGAAAGTGTGAGGAGTGTTTATATTTTGATTAGGCCGGGAGATGCGGCGACAGAGGTTTGGATGGTGAGGAGGAAAAGAGAGGCAAAAAACACACTGTTAAGTACACCTTTTCGGGAGTGAGGACAAATGATTAAACATTTGGTGAGCGCGGTAGGAGAAAATGAATTAGAGATTATCACAAATTCACTTGTATTTATTCTCTCAACTCCTCCGTCGTCTCTAAATTCCTATCAGACTCTATTCTCCCTCTGTGTTTACGCACAAAAAGATGAGGTTGAGTCTCATACCTCGCGGCTACTTTGGATTTCTGTTTGAAAGTAAATTCTCCTTTTCAGTTTGCCCATAATTCTCTTTGTCGTTTGTAAAGTTTTCTCACCTCTTTAGTGCTCCTCTTTTCGGCTACTCGTTGTATGATTCTGGGGTGAAAAGAAGGTGAGATTATTGCACTATATTTTCATTCTCACATCACAATACTTTATATTTATACCTCCTTTTTGCCACTGCGGAAGGAGGCATTCTTTTACCTCAATCATGCCGAAGCAGTTGAGAACAATCGGTGAAAAATTTCAGTACAACTCGTAAAGCGGTTGAAAAAATGTCAAGATGCTGAGCAAGAGTGGCTTTTATGCAAATTCTCGGCGAGATTCCACCATGTTTTCGAGTGCAAATGGGCAAAAATTGCGATTGTAAAGTGAATTTCAAGATGAAAATTCCACCATTCAGTCTGTTCGAGGCGTTTATAGCATGAAACTCCAATGCTTTTTAATGGGTATTTCCAATTAAATGGAACTCGAAAATGTTTTCTGCACTCTGCGAGCAGAATTGCACATGTTATCCATTAGGGAGTGTTTGTGTAGCTGTATTTTTACGACAATTTCCATTGCACATTGCATTTCTGGCAATTTTCTGCTCTTGTTTCTCTCCTTCGACGAATTGCGCATATAAATGTATGATCTTGAAGAATTTTGCAATTTGCAGTCTCGCATGGATCATTTGCAAGTAATCTCAGGCGCATGAAAATCTTAATTATCACATAAATTTCAGCTGGGGCTTTCTTTCTTTCTGTATGACAGCGTATTTTTAACTATTCGCTTTGAGCAGTTGATGCCACCCTGTAAACTTCTTCATTTCATGGCCTGATGAAGAGATTGAGGTCTTATTTGTTTTCTTTTTGTACTGTTCGAGTGGAAGTCTCTTCGGCAATCAACTGATAAGACTATCAGCAGCAATAATTGCCAACATATTTCACCCGAAGCTTCCTCAAAGAGCTGTTTTTCACTCCTCTGCGCATACTTAGAGAACACCTTTTGAATATTTGCTAAGAATCTAATCTCATTCTTGACATTTTCTATCAATAATTCTGCCAATTGATCTACCCATGAGACTTTATCGGGCAATTCTTTACCCAATTTTGCGCTCTTTTCATTTCCCAATGATGCCTATCAATGGCATTGTCACCTACTTGAGTGATTGACGAGATATGGCGTTATATCGGCAAAGAAGCGATTAAAGCCCAGTATTGACTGAGGAGGGGAAAAAAAGTGTGACTTCTGGGGAGAAAAAAAAGCTTCAAAGAGTGGAAAAATCATGATATTTGCTTTATAATTTATTGGCGCACAAATTTACGTGTATTTATTTAAATTTTAATCACTCAAATGATTTGTTTTGATGGGCTCGTGGACAAATTTGAGTGGTCATTTCGGCGAGGCGGCGACATCAAAGTGGCACCTCGTCGGGATCTCAGCCACTAAATTGAATTTATTAGCGTTATTTATGATTTGATATAAAATGATAGAAAAGTCTCAAGTTACACCTCCTCTGCCACTCTTCTTCCTGCCTCACTTCTCCACACACGAAGCTATGCAATTTGACACTCTTGAGAGGTTTTCTGACAAAAGGAGGAAAATTTACGGTAATGGGAAGTGAAAGACATTCATATAAAATAGGTCAGGATGTTAAGCACAAAGGCTGTATTCATGTTTTCTTTGATTTGTTAAATGAAATTGATATCTTCGTCGTGAAATGTCGAGGGGAAGTTTCGAGGGAGTGTCATTGATTGAATAGTTTGGATTTCTCTCGCTTGCGCGATGATTTTTGTCCGTAAATTAAACTTTTCCACACTCGTTGACGTGTTACTACATCAAACATGAGTTTGATAAAGTATCTTTTTCACTCAATTATTACCTCTTTCTCTGCCTCTGTCATGCTTTGTCGCGCGCGCAAAAGCGTGATAAGAAGTCAATAAATAATTTGATCTTGTGGTAGCAACAGGAAAGAGTAGCCCACATGAATAACACCTAAAATATTAAATATTTAATCGTGTGTTGCCCTCTTTCCACCTCAAACTGTTCCACGAATCGCAAATTTATCTCCAAGACTGCTTCCTCTCTGCATTCCGTCCTCACTTTCGTATGCAAACACTATCGGCGTGCATAATTTGGCGAGATTAAGCAATTAAGTGGCGAAAAGGGTGAAAATTGTGTGAGAAGAATCTCAATGAGATCTTATTCCAGCAATGAAATGCAACCGCAAACAACCTCACGGATTCTCAAACAGTGTGATTAGCGAGAGAAGTACATAGAAAAAAGTAATGAGAAATATTAAAAGCAAATTAACAATTAATTTATCTTGCATTCAATTCCATTCTTACTCTGCTTCTTGTGTTACTCTATCGTTTTTATTGGCTTGGGATTATTTTTTCTTGCTGTTCTGTTGATATACAATTAAATATGAATATTCATACAATGATCTCGTAATGAAATTAAGCCTCGTCTTTCAGATACTTAACCGTGAGCAATAAAAAGTTCATTTAAAATTGCGCTGCATGCTTTTTCGTCACACTCAGAGTTGAAGAAACTGGCGCTGAGAATATTTTTTTCCCCAGTTAAGTTGAGAGATTAAAGTGAACATTCTTCAAACGATCACGTCTCTCTATCAGACTTCTTTTGCTTTATCTATTAACAATGGAGATTCTGGCCTGAGAAGATTCATCACAAAAGTGACTCGTGCCTGAGGAATTCCAAATGGAATTCCTCACCTCAAAATCCCACATGAAATCCCCTCGCGAGACGGTGAAATTTCACTTGTCACGAGTGATTAAGGTAGAAATTCTCCTCTGGGCCAGACAACAAAAGAATAAAAAGAAGGGAGTAGAGAATGAAGGCGTGGAATGCGTGAAAAATGCACTTCCTCTAATTTTGTATAATTTTTCGCGTGCAATCTCACCCAACTGTTGACATTCCAGCGACACATATTACACACAAGTGTCTCATGGTGAGGAATTCTCATCTGGAAATCACTCGAGAGCTTAACCTCATGAGAAAGCTTCTTGCTCCCCTTTTTGCACTCACACCTTTTCCCTTCTTTTTGGGTGAAATGTCGAGTGATCCTCGCGGCGAGAGAACTCTGCCGCCAACTCGTGGACGTCACTCATTCACGATCAAAGGCGAGACGGAGAATAAAAGATCACCACGTGAGATGAAGTCGAGATGATGAAAAAAGTTTTTCTCCCTTCAAGGAGCAATTTTTGTATGAATTCATAACGAGGCCGCGTTGAGGATTTGCCTCTTGAGAGCGAATTTATTCAAAATTTTCAAAAGATATTCCCGAACATGTAATGAGAATTTGAACGAGGGTAAAAATATGTGGATAAACACACAAAATCACCAACTTCTAGAGACGTATTAAAAAAGTTTTTTTTATTTATTCACCAGTTATTTATGTACATAACATAAAATACACATAACACACAATTCCCTGCAACATTCGGTGTCTGAGACGCTAGTGTGACGCACCTGAAGATGGATGGGACTTCAAATTGCAGGAGAAAATGTGCCCAAAGAGGTTTCACATGATTTGTTTGTTGATTCAATGATTCGATTCTCTCGCGGTGCCTCTCGAGATCGATGCTTGATTTGCTGCGTGGCGAACCTTTTCCTTCGATGACTCCGAAAAATGTTTCTTCTAAATCGAAATAATTGATCACTGTGACTGTGATTAACAAGCATGTTTTGGCCTGGACGGCTTCTTTGTGATCCAGGGCCAGATCGCTCTAACGATTCTCTCTTCTCCTTGCAGGTGCTTGTTACGTTGGCAATCAGTCGGATCGCGCGCTGCGTCTCCTCGTGGCGATGCCATTGTTCTGCTGCTGGTGCGTTCCACCCCGTTTTCTGGGATGTGAGCCCATTCTAATCATTCCCACCTTCGCCCGCAGGTGTTCCGGCTCCGTGAACCTCTTCGTGGGCTACTTGATGAGGCGTCGCAAGCCAGACATCCCGCCTCTGCGCCCCATGCCTGAGCACATGGACGGAATGGGGCGATTCCTCTTCGTCTACTGCATCCCCAGCGGACTGCTCATGATCGCGGTGTTCTACGAGTTCGCCAACAGGGATCTCTGGCTCAATGTGCAACCCTCGATGGAGCCAACAGCGGCTATCAAAGCGCCCATGTGGCCCTTCATGATGAAAGGTAGGGCTTTCCCCCTTTCTAATTCGAAAAAGCGCTGGAATTCAACCTCCTTTCTCTATATTTTCTGTCACTAGCTTTCATGGAGCTTCTCCTGGGAGTCCTAGCATCGGCCTGGGCACTCGGACCGCGAGCCGTGACGATGTGGAAGAATCACTTCGGCCCGAAGTGCAAGCAAACGCCACAGAAGTTCCAGGCCGCGCAGCCGATCTACCCTGCTGCATCCTACCAAATCGTCTGTCCTCAGAACTCAGTGATCTCCTCGGCCACAGGAAGCCTGCCGCGTCACGCGAGGAAGTACCCATCGCACGCGGTGCGGAAGCAGCAGAGAATGTACAAGACTTCCGTGTCGCAGTCACGCAGCCTGACCGGCAACGAGACAGTCTTCTGACCGCGCGATGCTGATCAGCACAGCGCCCCTGTGATATCGTCGTGGAGCTCTTCTCGAATTGCAGCCACTGGGAGATGCTTTAAACACACTGAGTCGATGGTTGAGTCAAGAAAATAATATTTATTGGACAAGTACTTGAGCTTAGAAGTAGATTTTGCTGCACAAAAGTGCCTCCAAATCTGCTCAGTGAATAGGATATGACTGCAAGATGTAGTTTTATGCAGTGTAGACATTTTTGGAGGCAATTTGTGGCCCTCCGAGTATATTTATTTGTTAACTAAACAATAGAATATGTGTAAAAAGTACAGTTTTCTTGTATTTTCCCCTCTAAGTGACTTCAATTTTATAGTGCCATTTGTAAATTACGTACTTAATATATTTCCTTGTGATATTATATTAATATCTGACAATAAAAGAGAATTATTCGCTAATTCTTCAATTTTCATTTACTCAGCAAAGGCCAGAAGATGCATTTTGGAAATCCAAGCGTAATTATCTAGAAGTCGCATGCGAATACTTACTTCAAATCTTGCTCAGCGGAGATAACTTTTTTAACAATTTAACCACCATATAAGATCCAAAAAAATGTCTCAGTAAACATATCTATTTTTATTTCGAGATTTATAATTTTGTTTTGGGGAATTTTTGTTGTATCACAATCATCACAATGAGTTCAGCATCTGGAAATATGGTAATTTCAGTCAATAGCAGAGCCACTGTGTCGCCATAGACAAAGATCAAGATGATCGTTGGCTTCCTCCTCGCAAATGAAAACATTGCAAACTGGGCAAGACACAAGAGCAGCATTTGAATTGATGTTCACGACATTCGGAGTCTTCGGAGATGAATTTGCAGCTCGGATGCTTGAAGTTGAACTGGAGCGACTTTCATGCTTCCTCGGCTTTTTGACTGGTGGCGGCTTGGCTGAGCCCGGGAAACGGAATTTCACGTTCTCGATTATTCCCAAGCATCCCTCCATGTGACTGGGCAAATCACTTCGCGAAAGGAACTGCTCGCACACTGGACAAGTTATGAACTCATCGTCAGTGCCATGAGGCTTCTGGCTGTCTGAGGAATTGTTCTTGTTGAACTCCTCCATCAGAGTGTCCTTGCCGAAGAGATCGTCAATCACGGACTGATTCAGGACGTGTGAATTGTCAGCCGTATCATCATCGTCGTACTCATCATCGATCAACTCAATGGCATCAGTCTTGTCGTCGAACGATTCCAGGATTTCCTTCCTTAATTGGCTCTGTCGCTCCTGACGCGTGGGCTTCACTACAGGCTGAACCACTGAATCATCCAGCAGACTGATGACAGTAATATCGGGATCTTCAATAAACACATCATCATCATCATCTATTTTCTCCCACTTTGTTGACTTGCTGCTTCCCGGCTTAGAGCGATTGGGCGACTCGAATTTCTTACTCCACGCATCCTTCACATTGGCCCTCACTTCGCTTGTCTCCGCTTCCGGCTGTTGCGTGCTCTTCCGTGGTGGCGTGAGGAACTTACGGATATCTGTGGTATTGGCATTGGTACTTGTCTTGGCGGCGTTTTTGGGCTTCGTCTTCTCCGGTTCTCTGATCTTTACGAAGTGTCCACCGCAGGATTGCTCGTGCGCCTTCCACCAATAATCAGAGGGGCCCGGATTGCGGTTCATCGTGCGCCTCACGTAGCCGTAGAACGGCTCGCGGTGCTGACAAGTCCCGTTGCAGCGCCACACGTGCGTTCTGTAGACGTTTACCTCGTCATGGAAGCTGTGATACACCGAGATGTTAGTGCCCGCCACTCGGTTGATGCTGTGCATGATACTCCGGAAAGTGGGCCCGTGGCCACCGTTTCCCTCCCGGATGCCCTGCACGAAGCAGTAGGCGTGTATCATCTCGTGGAGCAGAGTCTCCACCAAGTCCTTCCGCGAGCGCAACTTGAGGAGTGGCTCACTGAGGCGAATCGTGCACGCCTTCCCAAACTTGTTGGAGCGCAGATAGCAGATCCCAGCGCAATTGTACATCCGCTTGCTCCATTCCAGCTGCACGCACTGGAGTTTGTTCTTGAAGAAGCGCTGGTCGAAGCGCTTGAACAGTGCCTTCACGTCCGGCGTCGGATCCTTGAGCTCCCACACGTCGTCCACGAGATATTGGGTGGCATTGAGATCCACATTGCGTACGCTATTAGCTGCCAAATATCCTGAAATCCCAGAGACACTGGAACTCTGTTCCCCAAATAACAGTGAAGATGTCAAGTTGGTCAAGTCGAATAGAAAGTTGGAAAAATGTGGTTTTTTTACCCTCTTCCGGTTTAATTGCTGATGAAGTTGTTTCGCGAGCTCCTCATCCGAACTGTGATACATTTTGTTGAGATTCCAGTGACCACTGAACAAGAGAAATCCTGTTTTTTGCAGAATAAACTATAGCGGGAACTCGTATGATTTGGAGGTTAGTTTTGCATATTGCTCAATAGCTCAGAAAGTTGCTCAGTTGATTTTGTTTGCATTTTCAAATGCATTCCATCAACAACGCTTATTATAAGCCAATAAAATAAATGAAATTTTACAATTCTACAATGAAAGTATATTCTTCATGAAATTTATGCAAAAGTACATTCAATAAACGATATACATTTGCATTTAAAGTGTAAATCATATTCACGACGTGTTTTCCGCATCCTTGACAATCTTTAGGATGATCTTGGAAAACATGTAATAAGCTTTTCCCTTGACTGACATGACTTTTGGGAGGAGGGACTCAGGTACGCCAAACACCAGATCATACCCTCCAGCGTCTGAGTTCTTCGTGCACTGCCACAAGATCCACTTGTGGATGTCCAGCTTGGGATTCTGCACTGCCAGCGTATTCTGACACGTCACTTGGGAGATGTCTTTGCCGGGAATAAAAGCGGTGACTCTGCAGAACTTTGGGAGATCCTCCTCGCGCACAACGGACAGAGAAGCGCCTTCCCAGAGCTTTCCGATGTTCTCCACCGCCGTTGACAGCCAGTCGCACGTCTCTTGGTTGGCGCAGGTGAATCTCAGGAACTTCCCGTCGTACTCTTGCGTCTCAAATTGCACAGAAGTGCCTGATTTCACTGCCTTCATGAGCTTCTTCGTCAGCTTGCTCTCCACCATTGTCGCCTGCTCCCGATCCATCTGCTGATTCAAGCCGTTCTGGTCAATGATGACCATTACAGTGAACTCAACTGGACTCTCTCTCTCCGTGTCCTGCACATTGGGAAAGAACTGATGATGAGATTTGTCAGGAACTCTTTCTGGCACTGCACCGTCCATGTGGAACTCCGGAATTGGCTTCAACTCCCGGAACAATGGTGTAGCGTGAGGTTCCATGGAATTTTGAACAGTCGATTGCCAGTTTTCCCCTTCTGATACAGCATGACTTCGCTTTCTATGGTTAATATCATTCGCTACTCTCACATCAGGATCCTGGATGCTCCTAGCTTGGCTCGTTGATCTCCGATCTGACTCTATTCTGTCCATCCGGCCAACACTCTTGGCGCGCTCTTTGGGAATCACAGGATGACCGTGCGGCATGTGCCAGGGAGATCTGCTCTCATGAACGCTACCATTGGATTCTGGCCTTCTAGGATCGTATTCCCAGGTCCTATTGAGTGAATTGCTCTGTGCATTGGGTGTACTGAGTCCTCTGTTTGCGTCCCCTGGATTCCGGTGTCTGTTTGCTTCTTTGAACTATCAAAACACAAAACAAATAGTATTTACTATCAATTTATGCGTGGCTTCGCAAGGAAAATACCTTCTGGAAACGTGATCCTCCTGGCCTGCCTTCTGAGTGATTCGACCGACGCCTTGAGTGCGATGAATTCATTGCAAGTCAGCTTTTACAGCAATCAAAAATATCAAAACAAAGCACATGTCGGTGCTTTTCAAGAGGTTATGGCGAATTTTATGGCGCGCGCGTCAAATCCGTCAAGCGGTAAAAACAACAAATCAAATTTCAAAAGGAGAATTTCACCGTTATTAGTAACAAACTTAGCATTGCTATTTTTTTTACTCACATTTAAAATCAATAGAAACTCCTTTGCAGCTGTAAATTCATTTGCTTCCGAAAAAAGTCAGCGTAGTAAGAAAGTTTCGTAATTCTCACACAGATTCAATCACACTTTCGCAATTAATTGACGTAATTAAAGGAATTAAAAGTTTCATCCAGCGACAACTACAGTTGTTGCAATTGAAATAAGCCAGAGAATCATTTTAAGTGTTTTTGTTTGGCTTTCTCAAGCAAGGTATGGAAATGAAAATTTCACCTAAAGCCTAAACAAATTAATTGACTTTATGTTCTATTTCATTGACGACTGCTGTACAAGTCTTAGGTAAAAGACTTTCAAAATTTTCTTATTTTATACACACATCTTCTGAATTATTCACATGTCGTTATTCCCACTCCTCAATAGTCTCAGCAATTAAATATGAGATATCATAAGTTTTTGAGGCATATAAGACAGTGCTCGTTTCTTCAGGAGAATAGTTTAGTCAATTCAGCCAAAAATGGACCAAGAAAAAGCAATTGAGAAGTATCAAAAGCTGCAGAGCTTCTTTCGAAGAACCCTGAAGTTCTTCAATTTTGACTACTTCAATCATTCTGGAGATTTTCGAGTTCGCAACATGTTCTTCACCACGACTATATTGTGTAGTTACTATTTCAACATCCAGAAAGTGCTCGAGTACAATAAAGTGAACCGGATTATGTGGACTCTCAACATGGCGTGGTTTCTTGTGCACTTCATGGCCATTGCGAAGGGATTCACGTTGATGTACAACAAGAAAGAATTCCTCGGACTACTTCAGGAAATCGGAGAGCTTTACTCCAAAGAGTACAGCAAGCCCATTCTAGAGATTCAGCAGAGGGATTTGAGAGAGAACTTCAAGCTCACCATCGTGGGTTTAGTGTGAGCAAGAATTTGTCCAAGGATTTGTCTGGAATGTAGTTGTAACTTGGTGGTTCTTGCAGAGCTTACGGTGCAATCTTCTGGTTGGCGGAATTTGTGACTTTGGGTTGGCTTTTCACTCTGCCAACAGTGGAGTTTCCGCTGCTCTACAATATCCCCATATTTCTTGAATCTCCAACTTATTCCTACATTTTCAACATGATTTGGCAGTTCTTCATTTACTTCTCCTTCCTCTCCATCATTTCATTCGGAGATTTGTTCATTATTTTCTTTGGTCTCCATTTTCGTTGCGAACTGAAAATCATTTCTGAAATCTGCGAAACTCTCCTCGAAGACAACGACGTGGTGAAGAGTGAGAAAGCATTGCTGAAGGAAATCTACGAGAAACACATGAAAGTATTGAACATGCTCAAGACTTTGGACAATATCTACAGACATTTGTCCTTCAATCATTTCATTACAAGTTTTACAGTCATTTGCTCCCTGTTCTACGCAATTCTCGTGCAGGAGGAGTTCGACGGGTCAATTTATATACTCACTTTCTTAGGTGTCACACAATTATTCGTCCTCTGTCTCTTCGGAGAGACACTCGTCGCGAATACAGAACAGATAGGAATATCCGTCTATCTGACAAAGTGGTACGAAATGACCACGCTTGAGCAGATGAATCTCCTCTTCATCATGAGAATCGCCCAAAAACCGCACGGAATTAAGGCAGCTGGACTTATTGATGTGAACTTTTTCACATTCGTCGAGGTAGATTGCCAACCAATTCAATAAATGACAATTCAGTGTATTGACGATAATTCCTTTACAGGCCATGAAGGCTGCCGTGTCGTACTGCGCTATTCTCTATGCATTGACTAATTAAAAATTTAGGAAAATGTTGAACTTATGAAAGAACTTTCAGAAATATACATTTTTTATTCAGAATATGTCTTTCGGTTGACTTAGAAAATGTAATGCGGATTATTACGAGGACAATAAAATAACAAAGAATCAAAGAATAGAACAAAGCGGCTTTTCAAAAAGTCCATTTATCCTGAAAAGATTAAAGAAAACCCGCAAGGAAAGCTTTTTAGTCTTTTTCTATTATACTGTCTCGCAATTTCCTTCTCCTTCGTTTCTTAGCGTTATTAGCTTTAACTAAGAATGCTCTAGCTTCTCCTAAGAAGAACTCACAAAAATCAGGACTGAAAATAATTTGAAATCCAGCATTTCTTCGCGCTAAATATTTATGGCACTTTTGGCATAAAATCATAACGAACAGAATGTACGCGGATTTCGCTGTAGATGTCTCTTACATCGCGATGTTGACAACTTGAACCGGTTGTAAACATAACCAAGAAAGGCGAATAAAAACAGCAAGTCAAGTTTTCTCATTTTACGCTAAAAACTCGAGTTTTCTCTACATTTTTCATCCATTTCCCAAAATGTCTGGCTACGACACACACGACGATGGTCCAGGATTTGTTGGAATACGTTTCTGCCAAGAGTGGTGAGCTTTCTTTGGTGAGCAATGTTTGTTGATGTTTTCCTAACACTTTCCGGATATTTTCAGCAACAACATGTTGTATCCAAAGGAGGACAAGGACAACAAAATTCTCCTCTACGCTTGTCGTAATTGTGACTATAAGCAAGTGGCAGACTCCAATTGTATCTACGTGAACAAGATTATGCACGAAATTGAGTGAGTAGAAAGTGCCTTTCTGAGAAGATCGATATTGAATTTATTCATCAAACGCACTATCGTGAAGTACAAGAACACCATTCTAATTGTCCTTTTTTCGCAGCGAACTCACACACATCGTTCCGGACGTGATATCCGACCCGACGTTGCCACGGACGGAGGATCACGCTTGCCCGAAGTGCGGCCACCAAGAGGCGGTGTTCTTCCAGGCCCAGACGCGCCGTGCAGAAGAAGAGATGCGGCTCTATTACGTGTGCACCAATCAAAACTGCACCCATCGATGGACAGAGTAGAGAGAGCAGCAATTAAATTTCACCTCAGTCTGTTCGGGATGGAATGAAAACGTGTCGCGAAACGAGAAATTCAGGTTGCAAAATTTATTCTTCGTCTATTCTATTGTTGAGTCGATGATCTTCTAACGCGAATTGGCATTTTTTGCTGCCCATTGCAAATGTACAGAGACACGACGGAGAAATATAATGAGAAGTAATGCAACTAGTATGCAAATAATTCTCTATTCGCCAACCCTTTTGTTGCATCCCCCTCGCAAATGCAGTCCAAGAATGGACAGTCGTCTATTGCAATGTTGCGCTGCATCGAATTGCGCCAAGTGTGTTCTATCATCTTTTCTATTTTGTTGTCTAGGCAGTGCTTCTCAAACTGCATCTGATGTTTTCCATAGTTTCCATTGCCAAACTCTGAAATAAAATTACAATATAATGAAGCAGAACATATGCAGAATTACAGAATAGTTGGTAAATTGTAGCTGAGTTTCAAAGATTGATGTGCTTTGAGATTTCCCAGGCTTTATGAAACATTTAATTCAATTCAATAAGAAAAGGATTTCATCTGTTCAAATCAATGAAGGATCAAAGTTTTGAGAAGCTGTGGTGAATGCTAGAACATTGTACCATTTGCTTAGGCAAGCAGAGTGCTAAACTGACATCATGGAGGGATGTGTCTAATCTCAATGCAAGCCTAGGTGAAAGGGGTGCGATGCCTTCGGGTAGACGTCCTCCGTCTTTTGTCCGCGCCCGGGAGAAATAACCTCTGAAATATAGGATGGAATTGTGTTCTCCATTTGGGTGTTCATTTCTCACGCATGTTCGGCCTCATTTGCAAAAATCACTCGATGCGTCTGCCCTGTTCGTCTGCGTGGCGTCGAGATCAAGAACCCTGTTGACTCCTTGCCTTTACCTATCGGCCGTTACTTTTATGTACAATTTATTGTAATCATCACTGTTCTTGCCCTCGCTGCTTTCGCGCGCAAAAAAATTCGCGACGATGCGGACGCGAATAAAGATTGGAAATTTATTGCACGATATTGGCCATTTGTACGCAAATTTTGCCATTCTTACTGATTGCCAAAAAGATGTCCAACACTCACACGCACTTGCGCTCATCCTCGCACGCATCTCGCTGAGAGTTTGCCGCCAATACCGGAGAACAAAACTTGTGAAACTCTAACAAATAGTCACAAGTTAGGGTCTCAGGGAATTAGCAATTGCAAACGATTTTCGCTGACATGGCAGACTTCTGAGATGTGGTAATTTTTTTTAGGAATCAAGCAAATGCTAGACAAGCATCTGGATGAAATCACAGTGTAGACAAGAATTCGCCACAGTCTGACGGACAGACAAATAAATTTTGCCATTTGAGGAAATAAATGTTGACTTAAATGCATAGCTTTTCCACATTCCACCCCGAAAAGAAGCGAGAACGTCGGGAAAAATCAATGATATGTCCAAAAAGAGCGACGCCAGAATGCTAAAAGTACAATAAATACGCCTCGTTGGTGTATTGAGGTAGGTTGTCTCCGCGCCGCTGAGCGTAAAGTTCAAAAATCGATACCGAACACCCTGCTCTGCATTTTCGGCACGAGTTTTGAGGGTGAAAGAGATCCAAAGCAGTGTCGCCCACCCTTTTGAGAGGGTTTTCATTCACAACTACACGCGGAAAATGGCGCGTCGACGGGAATTTGGCAATTTTCGGCTCTTTTTGCGCCTCCGCAACAGATTAAATAAATTACAACATATTCGCGTCTGACCTATAAAATATGATTTGCGGAGCATTTCAAGATCACTCACGCGGTTGAATGATCTCAATGGCTTCACTGATGGCTCGTTAGTCCCAAAAATAGCAGATATCAACTTTTGTACGGTGTTCACGGCGGTGGGAATAGCCTGAAAGCAGAGTAGGATTAAGGAGCATGTACATATGAGAGCGCAATCATGGATAATATTTATTTTGCACTTTGCATAAATACATTAAACAAACGTATTTTTCCGTTTTACGGTCGAACAATGGACGGCGTGGAAAACAATATAAAAACACATAAATTGAAATCATTTAAATGTTTGATGAAACAGAAATTTTTATCAATTTCAACTCCCTATACAATATTTTGAATATTATTGTACAAATTTCTTTCCATAATTGTGTAAAGACAGATATAGAATCCATTACGCTCTTTCAAATCTCCTTTTGAGACCCTTCTTGGCAACAAGCAATTAAAAGAAGTTCGCTGATTGAGAAATAAGATACTCCCATTTGGTCGTCATCCCAAAATATTGAAGCAATCTCCAGCAAGATCAGTGAACATGATCGTCTCTGCGGGCTCAGTATCATCTCCTTTTTCGATTCACAGCCAGTCTCTGGCTGGGAGATTTTCGAATAAACACCACCACAATCTCTATGTACCATTCCTGAGTACATAAGTAGATTAAGAGCTTTTTTGAGAGGCACACCACAAAAATCATGCCGGGAAAAAGGCAGAGCGAGAGAGAGAGAGAGAGTGAGGAGGAGAATTTGCGAAAAAAATATCCACCAATTCCCCCTAACACTAATACCTCGACGATTTCGCGAAATAAATAGTTCTATGCTGTCTTGCGAAATGTATTTTGTGTGATTCTCTGACCCTCTCTCCGGTGTTGTCTGTCGCACTCGCGGGTGTACACCTCTTTGTTGGAGTTCATTGAACGAAATTCGCGCCAACTTGAGATACTCGACTTGATGGTACATATCTAGTCGATATTTTGTGTATATAGTGCCACATTTTTACATCTGCACTTAGTATTTATATGTACACACTACCGTTATTTTAAATTTATTTGCAATGAATCTACATGAATTTGAGAAATGATGCTCTCAAGCAAATTGCCAGAGCGAAAGACACTCCATTCATTTCTCAGGTCAAAAAGGATCAATTTATTTGGGGAGGAAATCTAGACATTTTATATGCACTCTCGAATCACGATTAATCCACGAAAAACACTAACAGCAACGCGTTGATTTGCACGAGGCCGAGAAAGTATCAAAATCCATTTGCCAATGATCACAGAAGGTCGATTTTTGAGGAATAACTAACACGAAACTATTTGTGAAAGACTTTCAAGAGTGGTGAGACACACGGAAATAGTGACTAAATTAACACAGTCTCAGTTTTTCACTGATTTTTTGCAAACATTTTGTTGGTGTGCAAAACGGCGCCGAGATTGAATTAAAATTAAATATTATAAAATCTTATGTGATACGTACCATTGACATTTACACAAATTAGATACACACACACAAGTCAATTCGCAATCTTTTCCGCGAGTTTCGTAATTATGTACTGATGTATTTTCCCATGTGGCCATTTTTTCACAGAATCAATTCACAAATCCTCGAAGGAAACTCTCAAATCACTGCTCAATATATACCAGGAAGTCTCACGAAACACAATCACGTTGTTGCGGTCGCTGTCCATTGACTGAGTGTGAAAGCTCTTCGAGGCAGTTGATTGCCAACTGGATAACGAAGTCTCACTATCATTGACCACTTTCCTATTCGCGGCATTGGCAAAAAAAAAAACTGCAAAGAGAAAAAAAAGAAGAGGAAGCACTTGGAAACAGCTGACGTGAAATTCTATCAGGGAGAGAGAAAATGGACTCACGTCGTTCTCAAATTTCTCACGGTGCACGAGAGCTGATTGATGCCATCGCACGGAAAGTTAGCAGATTGTATAGCCATCTTCAATTGCACAATACTATACAACCTACTACCTCAACGTGAAAGGGCCAGTCAGAGGTCCTTTGTGTCAAAAAGAAGGCGTCAAAGTATCAGTAGACCATCCACTGAAACATATCTATGAGTAGATTTTGGGGAAATTCTTACCAAATTAGCAAACTAGTGCTCTTCGTTAAGCCTCACGCTAACGATTCAACTAGTGTGATTTTATGATAATACGGATAATACCATTCAAACAATTTTGCAAGCTCCTTGAAGCGAATTCCAGCAGAATTAACAGGGTCGTACTATCTTGATACTTATCCGGATATTCTCTAGCGTCGACAGAACACATTAATCTTCAATGTGTGTCAAGGAAATGCTGAAAACTCTGCTGATAGCATCGTTGATTTTCAGATTGTTGTTGGTTAAAATTTGCGCAAGCAATTAATCTCACTCAAAAAGAGCATCTCAATAAAAGCATCTCACAATTTGGTAAATCTTCTGTGATCTGTAAATGTGAAATAGTTTATGGAATCACGTAGTTTGCACTTATTAATCGTAGATACGTAAAGGGAAGAGTTGAAAAGTTTCAAGGAGCGTGGAATATTTGTGTCTGGAGAGAATGTATAAATAAATAATTTGATGTGCAGGAACTTTGACCGGGAGACAATTCGCAAAGTAGCCTTGAAACATTGATGTGGATTTATATTGTCAAGTCTAATCGCAGATGTTATATAAATATCTCATGTTGGAGCGCGATTGAGCGTGATGTCTTGATTCAAACGTGGGTGAAGCATCCGGGAAGGATTTACATCGACAGATTCCCGTATATCCGTTCTTGGGCAGATTTAACCACGAGCACAAGTTCGGATCTACGGGTTTCTGCAAATGAAAAAAGTGCCAACACCTTTTCTTCAAGATCATTGTGGAATTTTTTGTCAATGAAGTCCTTTGCATTTGACCTGTAAAAGGAGAAAATACAGAATATTTAGAGGTGTTTTTTTTGGCACAATCCATTTGAATTGAGTGGCTTATAAGTGATTGTTTCTTGGCTCCCTCATTTGCTTCATTTATTCGCTATATCAGTTTCGCCAGCTACAACAAAATCGTCTTTCACATTATCATCCGCGTTGACACAGGCGAAAGGTGTGTGTTTGTACGCGAATTTGCGCTTGTTTGAGATCTCCTCCATGTATTTTGCACATACTTTTTTCCTCTCTTTTGCAAATCCCACCAAATATACCCCAGTTTATGTGTTGTGTGATATAAATAAAATTTCAACACACGCGGACCTTTCTCTCCCCACCACTTGGGCCACTCCGTGAGATCATACAGTGATGAATTCACAATCCATTCGCGAAATGAATTCGCGAGTGTCATCATTAAACTCTGCGATATTTCGCAAAGTCTCTCTGTGACCGAATTTATTGGAGTTGAAAGAACTGACTCGAGAACCACGTGGGCAGGAGCATCAGTGATAAAACAGTATTATTCAATCGGGTTTGCAGCAAATTTTGCACTAAGTACGAAGACTTGAGGTTCGGAGAATATCTTTCATTGCTTTGTAGGAATTAGATCACCAATTCTAGGACATTCTCAAATCCCGATCCACACGATCGTACGTTGTACTTATTTAGGATTCATGGCATGAACCTTCTTAAGGTAAATTGGAAATGAATATCAGGTTTAATGGGTTGAATGATGCATTGCACAGCATGATCAATAAATCCTTGGTGTTCTTGACTTTTGGGTGAGAA